TATTATAAAATTCATGTTATGAAGAATAACAGGGAAGCTGCATGATCTCCTCTGAGGAGCTGAGGTCACCAGGTTTTTTTCCCCTCAGAAGCTTGTTTGAGAAGGCCAAGAATGCCACAAGAATTTGTACTTTGCCTCAGTTTTGTGCCTAATTGTTTATTCTTCTTGGAAAAATAATCCAGTAATCCCTATTTAAGAAAATAATCTAATTCCAATACAGTACTTCTTGTCACTCAAATATCTCAGCTGAATTTGTAAATTTAAAATTTACAAACTAGTCTATAACTATAATAGGCAAATGAGGATTCCTTGAGAGCAGGTTCCTGTTTTGTATGTGTAAAATGGTCTTCCCCCTTTATTTATTTTATCTCATTTTCTTTCTCTTATTATGAAGAAATTGGAAAATTTGGGCCAATTCTCAAAAAACAATAAGCCAAATGAAATTCCTGTATGTTATTTCTGTGCTCTGTCTAGACAGGGGAGATGAACCAGACTTGTAAAAACAGCACATGGGCCAGATGAGGATATGTGGCAAGTCTTGCTTTTATGAAATTACCAAGGTTATAGTTGCTTGTTAGTTACTTAGTTACTAAGTAAGTAAGTACTAACTGCTTACTTTCCTCTAGGATATCAAGATGGCACACAAGGTGGCCCTAATTTTAGATACTTGCACAGAAGATAATGTGAAAATAGACTGTGTACAGTGACATTTTTCCATTACATTGAGTTGACAAATAAGGAGACAAGCAGCACTATGATTCCATAGGTTTCTTGCAATGAAAAAAATGTGCCTAAAACTTAAATTAAAAGCCTGTTGATATAAAGCCAACCTACTAAATATTAAAATGCTATCCCTGTCTTGCCAAAAGTAATTTCTGAATAAGGAGCAGCTGAAATTGTAGAAGTGTTCAGAAAAATAGATTCAAAATGTACAAATTTGCAAGGAAAGGAAATTCAGAAAATGAGAAGAATGAACTGAAGACCCTTCTATAGATGTCTCACCTACTTGGATGCAAAGGTAGCAGACTCAAAAGGGAGTTCTCTTTTCAGCTCCTGAGAGTATAACAAACATTATTTGCTTCATTATTTAATGCTGTATTCTGCAGGAAAAAAAAGTCTTCTAAAATAGACATGTGCATTGCATTCAGAAATGTTATTATAATTTTATATATGTTGATAGTTTCTACTTCCAAGGATTCAGAAACTATTTTTGTTTTGTCATTTATACAGAACACTGCAAAAAGTATCACTGGATCTATCCAAAAGTCTTAGAGAAGAACTTCTAGTTGACTTTTCTATACTAAAATAATATATTTAGATCTTATCACAATCACTCTAGTGTGGGCTGAGTGCTAGTGGAATATATAAGAAATGTATTGGAAGTTTTAAAACTCTATTGCTGTAGGCAATGCAAGATTTTAGATGATGTCTTTAATATAAAGCCATAAGTGGTATTTAGCTTGAAATTTGAGAAATTGTCATAAGTTTAGGAAAGCAGAAGAGGAAGTTCCAGAAAAGAAAAACAGATTGGAATTGGAGGATTTAATTGACTCTTAAACATATTATTTGATTATTTCTCCTAGATCCTTCAAGCCTGATTTTGTTCTCATCCGGCAGCACGCTTACAGCATGGCCCTAGGAGAAGATTTTCGCAGCCTTATCATTGGCCTCCAATATGGTGGAGTCCACAGTATCAATTCACTTTTCTCTATCTACAATTTCTGCAGCAAACCCTGGGTGGTAGGTGATATTTTCAAAGCTTCCTCACATGAAATAAAAAATGAGTTCTTTAGGTATACACATATATGAAGGAATTCGAAAGTCAACTTTTGGTGCAAAACTAAAAAAAACCCCTTAAATCTAATTCTTTACCACTATGGAATAGATTTCAGTAAATAATAGAACTGTGTTCCACTTCCCCAAACAGAACCATTCCTCAGCTGTTTAATCCATCTCAGCATTAAATGTCTTGTTTCAGCAATAGCTGTTCTGGAAAATCTTTTTCTACACCTTGCATAACCTTGCTTGCCCTGAAAGGGAATAAGGTATAGCTGAGAAATAAGACCAAAATATTTTTAGGGTACATGTTTTGTTTTGTTTCCTTGGAAAGCTCTATTTTGAAGTGCTTTTTTAATTCTGGGAAATTCAAAACTGCTACCACCACCACCCCTCCCTCAGATTGCGTTTTTTAACCACTCACTGAGGAATTGTCATCATAATAGTTTAACAACTGTAGAAAATCACACTTTTACACAATAGTAAAATTATTTCAGCACCAATTCATTTTATTTTAAACAAGCAGTTAAATAACTTGTCAAAGAAAGGGCAGTAGCTAAAGTAAAAATATAGATTTGCAGAGCGGCACTGCATAAAACTTGTAGAGAGTAAGGAAGATGATCTTGATGGAGATATACAGGCTCCGTAACCAAAGCAACGAAGGGCAAAACATATCTTGAGTCCACAACAGACAGATAATATGTGGAAGAGGCCCAGACAGACGTTTCCCTAATTCACAGGTGTATAAGAAGGGGGAAGAAATACAATACAATCAGACTTGCAAGATTGTGCTATTATAGCCACCCTCAATAAAAGTAGTCTCTGCGTGCACAAAATGGCAGACAGGCTTTTGCATGTGCAAAGAGTACATTTTTTAAGAGGTAGGGTTAGGACATCTGTGCAATATATCTGTATTTATTTCTCCTGCTCCTCACTCAGTTATGACAGGACTCCTCCTGTTCCTCACTCAGTTATGACTTAGAGAGCTAAGTCATCCCAGAGAGGCTCTATGTTTTATGGCAGCTGGACTTCCTCTTCACTTGATCGCTGTTATAGAGGGACTCACTCTACTTGCATCACCTGGCTCATGCTGACTTCTCATTGTGCAATTCTTTCACAGTCTTGGTGGATGGGTCCTTTTGATCATGCTGCTGGACACTGGCACAGCTGAGGCCCCTCCGCCAAAATTGTAAAAGAGGCACACAGAATAGAGAAGCCAGGTGCACAAGTAAGGCAACTGTCACCAGCCAAGCAATTCATTCCAAAGAAGGCATTTGCCACAAGGATCCTATACAAGTGGTCCTCATTTAGCGACCACAATTGTAACTGGCAACTCTGTTGCTAAGCACTGCCGTCACTAAGCAGAAAATCACATGACCAAGATGAACTTATGACCTCACTTCCCCTTCAGTTGTTAAGCGAATCAACGTGGTCATTAAGCAAAACATCACATGACCATGACTTACGATTTTACTTCTGCCGTCTCTATTATCGCAAGTCAATTGCAAAGCACACAAATGGCAATCATGTGACTGAGGGACACTGCGATGGTCATAAATACATGCCATTGTGAAGCACCTAAATGGCGATTACACAACTGCAGGACCCTGCAACAGACATAAATGCGAGGATTGGTCGCAAAGCTATCTTAACTTTGAACAGTCGCTAAATGAGGTAGTTGGTAAGTGAGGACCTAACCTGTATGTGCCTCTCAGTCAGGCTGACCCAGTGAGATCCAGTGCAACCAGTGAGGAGAAGGAGGAGCAAATACACTGCCCAGACAATAGGAGGAAGCAGGAATGAGTGTTTCTGTGTGGACAATCAGAGGCTCTGACACCTAACAGTCTTTTAGTTCCTTGGGTTCAAGGTCTCATCATTTTTACAGGTAGTCCTTGACTTACAACCATTCATTTAGCGACCATTGGCAGTTACCATGACACTGAAAAAAGTGACTTACAACCAGTCCTTGCACTTACGACCATCACAGCATCCCTGCGGTCATGTGATTGTGATTTGAGCACTTGGCAACCATCACGCCTTTACAATTGTTGCAGCATCCTGCTGTCATGTGATCGCCATTTGTGACCTTCCCAGCCAGCTTCCGACAAGCAAAGTCAATGGGGAAGCCGGCAGGGAAGGTTGCAAGTCACAGTCATGTGATGACTCACTTAATGACCACCATGATTTGCTTAATGACCATGGCGAAAAAGGCCATAAAATCAAGTGCAGTCACGTGATGCCTTACTTAATGACTGCACTGCTTAACGACAAATTTTCCAGTCCCTATTGTGGTCATAAATCAAGGATTACCTGTATTTTCATGATTCACAATGTTATGCTGGGCCAGATATGGTGAAAGTCTGTTAAAAATCTGTGTTAGAACACAGTTTGTACAAACTAGTGCCAGTATTTCTATGATCACTAAAATTTTCCTATGTTAATTTTTAATTTACATGGATTTTAAGAACCATTTCAGTGTCCTTGAAAACTGAAGAGGCAATTGTAATTGAATGTTTTATTCAAGGCCTGTATCTATACATTAATCCCCAAACTTCCAGATATTATAACATTTCTCATAATCTCACAGTCTTGATGCAGACATGCAAAAAAGCAAAACAAAAGCCCTTAATAAACCTTGTATATTAGGTTGCAGTTCCCACTGTATGCAATTAGTCCTATTTATTTGCCTTTGTCTTGTTCTAATTAGCACAAGTAAATTCTAAACATGCTCACCAGAAGTAAATGAAAAGGTCTATCATGTGAGATGTCAAGGATTAGCAGTCAGGATAGGTGGCAAACTAGTCCTCTAGATGAAAGAGTAAAATTATTGTCTATTAAACATTGAATTCTTTATTGCACCTCCAATAAAACAATAAACATGAAAGCTAATATAGATCATCACAATGAAATATAGTTCATATCAAGTTGTCATATTGTGACACATTGTTAATGTAATTAGGATTGACATGGACAGAACATATTGAAGAGAGCATCATTTATAGTGATGCCTTGCTATGGATGATCAGTCATGCAGAAACTCCATTTGAATGATTTATTCGCTCCCTTTTATTAAGCAGGAATGAGTTGCATAACTGTGTACTTCCTAATCTATGTGAATGTGGACTTTTTTTTTTTCTTCAGATATTTGAAGTTAGTTGTGGGTAAGGTGACCTTGGGCCAGTCACTCTTTCTTAGCCCTGCAAAGGAGGCAATGGCAAACCACTTCTGAATTCTTGCCAAGAAAACTGCAGGGACTTGTTCAAGCAGTTGCCAGGAGTCAACACTGACTTGAAGGCATAAAAACAAACAAACAAACAAACACCTTTCTACAGTGCCACATGCTGTTCATAAAAGATCACCAGATTTTCTTATTTACAATAATTTCATTGAAGATTATATTATACAGATAAAACTAATACAATCTACACAATATAAAAATATATAAAAAAGAAGAAAATAAAAAATAAAAAAATGCAGAAAAAGAGGAAAAAAGAAAAAAAAAAAGAAGCCTTCCTCTTCATCTCCAGCAAGTATAATCAACATTAACAAGAGAGATTTACAGTATCTCTTAAAATAAAACCAACCATCTCTTCGTCCCATATATCACTCCATTCTCTATAAACCAATTTTTAAAATTTCATCACTCCCAAAAGTCCATTAAGGGTTATCAGGAATAACAACATACGTAACTATTGCAAACTGTATCTACTAAACTCAGTTTGAATCCTTCCTTTTATATTTATATCTCCCTTTCTATTTAAACATATCCCATAACTTTTTTTTATTGGTATTACAAAAGGGGCTTGATAAAGATGCCAATGATCCTGAGAGAAGATACAAAGAGAGTATGAGAAAGCGGATGTTAGGACTTCATTTGAGGGAGCTAAAGATCTCTGGGAGAAAGAAGAAAGAATATAAAATCAGTTTACTTGATCAAGTTTAAAATAAAGGGGTTGTTATTTTTGGTAATGTTCAATGGATTTTTGCTGATCAGGACTGTATGACAATGTTTTAAAGAATTTGTTTATCTGAAGAGAGGAAATAGGGGGGATATGTTTAAACAGAAAGGGAGGTATAAATGTAAAAGGAAGGATTCAAACTGGGTTTAATAGATACAGTTTGCAATAGTTATGTTATTTCCCTTAACCAGTAATAACCCTTAATGGATTTTTGCTGATTAAGACAGAGAGATGAAATTTTAAAAATTGGTTTATAGAGAATGGGGTGAGAATATGGGATGAAGAGATGGTTGGTTTAACTTTAAGAGATAGTGATAAGTTGTTAATTGATTATACTTGCTGGGGATGAAGGGGGAGCTTTCTTTCTTTCTTTCTTTCTTTCTTTCTTTCTTTCTTTCTTTCTTTCTTTCTTTTTTCTTCTTTTTCTGCACTTTTTATTTTTATATTAAGTAGATTGTATTAAGTTTTATCTATATAATATAATCTTCAATTAAAGATTATTAAATAAAAGCAAAACAAAAAAAACAAAAATCACTGGATTTTCTTAAGGGACAATCTTGCTGTATCATTTCTGCATCTCTTTAGGTACATAGAAGATGAGCACTTTAGTGTTCCAGCAAGGATAAAGCTCCATGCAAAATACAATCCAGAATCATCCTCTTCTCATTAGGTACTTGGAGCCAGAGGTTGATTTGAAGTAAGGGCCTATGCATTGTAGGTATCCCAGCACGCTCAGAGTTTCTGATACAGAAGGTAGACAATTCAAAGGCAGCTATAGTGGCAAGGGGTCACTAGAGATTTCATACTGAGGACTGGGGAGAGAGCAATCATATCATTTGCAAGGTGTAATCAGAAGCTTTCGGAAGTTCATTTGTTTAAACTCAAAAACTGCCATAATTTTAAGATTGTGTTATGTATGTGTATGCATGTAATCAAAAGGGGGCAGCACTTACAGTGCAAGTCAATGGGAAGTGGAGCCAAAGTGACTGGTAATACTAAGTCACTTTGGAGCCACTTCCAGTCTGTCTCTCATAGGCATCCATTGGTCTCTCATTAGTCTCATTGGCAGCCATTGGATGTAATGAGGGGGGGACTCAGATCTTTATCTTTGGGGGTATTCACACCACAAGGGTGTTCCATTGGGGTTCAGATTGCTGCTGGTAATGACATTGACCATTCTCGGTATCTTTTGTCCCTCTTATTGCCTCCCCTCACTCATACTCAATTTGCTGCCAGGTATGTCTTGACTTGAATTGTGTTGGATCTGCAATTACAGTGGACACATAGTAGGGGGCAGCACTTACAATACAAGTCAATGGGAAGTGGAGCCAAAGTGACTGGTAATACTAAATCACTTTGGAGCCACTTCTGGTCTGTGTCTCATAGGCATCCATTGGTTTCTCATTAGTCTCACTGGCAGCCTTTGGTGTATGTATGATTATTTATATGTAGTTACAGAAGGTATGATTGACAACAATCATACATTAACAAGTATTAACAAGTGTTCCTGATGATCAGTGTAAGATGAAACATGAGGCAGTAGAGAAATAGCCCTTCCTGTCTATCTGTATTTGATATTTGTCCACTTCGCAATATTGTTCCCAAGTGAATCCTTTTCTCCTTCCTTCCTTCCTTCCTTCCTTCCTTCCTTCCTTCCTTCCTTCCTTCCTTCCTAGTTCTCTCAGCTAATCAAGATTGTCAGCTCATTGGGCCCTGAGAAGTTCCCTCTTGTAGAACAAACATTCTTCCCAAGCCATAAACAGATGGTAAGTATCTTGGTTTGTTTGTTTTGGTGGTACAATGTTTTAAGGAAGGAACTGAAATTGCAGAAATCAGTGTCTTACAGAGGCAGTGATACTCATTGTTTGCCTAGTTCCTTGGGACTGTATTAAATACAGTCATGCCCCTTCACAGGCATGTTCATTCCAGTTCCTTCTCATCAGTATGTTTTATACTTTCAACCCTGATCTATGAAAGCCATAATCTTCCCCAATATTTAGTTACATTATGGTTGCCAGTGCACACTCCTGATCAACAACCTCATTATAATACAACACATTTGTCAGTATTATAAGGAAATACTACATTGAGAACTAGGGGTCTCACAGTCCTTGCTGGCCACAGAGAAAATGCATGGTTAATGCAAGGAGAGAGGATTGTTGGGTTTCTCAGAAGTTTGACTAGAGGGGCTGAACTTATGCATAGCCATATCTCCTGAATGATATCAGCGTGCTGTGTGGAACATATTAAATATAAATGTTGCTTGGTATGTAGCAATATGTACTTCTTATCTGAACAAATTCAGCATTCAGTCTGAGAAATATGTTGTATATATAGGAAGCAAGGAAGTAAGGAATAAAGGTTTAGAATAACTTTATAATATATTTAAGGTTGTGACACTACTGCAATATCTATACTACTCATTGAAGCAAATTTGAAAACTGTCACTCAGTCCCTCCCTTTATAGAATTATCTGCAAAGTCCAGATTTCTTTTCTCATAACACAAAGAAAGTTACAGGTAATCCTTGACTTATGACCATTTGTTCAGTGACCGTTCAAAATTACAACAGCGCTGAACAAGGGAGTGAAGTTGCAGCCGTCCCAGGGCCCGAGTTACGAGATTGCTATCCAGGTGCTCGGGTGCCCAGCTCATGGTAATGACATTGCAGTGAGCCGTGGTCACATGATCACCATTTGCAGCCTTCCCTTCCAGCTTCCTGCAAGCAAAATCAATGTGAAGCCAGCAGGGAAGGTTGCAAGTCACTCCCATAACTCACTCCTTCCGCTTTTTCTCCCGAGAAGCCCCACTACAGAGTACGAGATCTCAGAGATCTCATACCCTAGTAGCCCCTGCCTGCCCATACTCTGTAGAATGTGCCTGTGTGTAAAAACCCCCACCTGCCCATAGCCCTCACCAGCCCTACACTCCCTAGCCCCCACCCACAGCCCTTGCCAACCCACCCACTCCCTAGCACATCCCCACAGCATCCCCCCACCCCCATCGCAGCACTCATGCACCCCCATACTCCTTGCCTGGGACTCCCGTGTCTTCCCGCTTAACGACCTGCCTGGTCCTGCGGTTACGACAGCAACTGGGACTGCCAGGATTGCTGTCATTACCCGAGGACTATCTGTACTTTCTTTCTATATGTCATTAAAAGAGATTGAGAATATATCATAAAATCTTTGTAGGCAAGATTTTTTTGCCTCATTCTATACAGATGTAGACATAATAATCAGTAACATTATGAGAAGCAGTATTTCACCTCATCTACTCTTGTGTGTTGATTCTCATAGCTATTATCACCAGTTTGTATCACTGTGTTGTTGGATATAAGCAATAGGCATGGGTAGGTAATATTAGTAGTGCTACGTAGTGCAGGAATGGAAGTGAGCGTTGGAAATTCTCAGACTTTATGTAAGTTTTCTTGTTCTCCCCAGAGGCGTGTACAGAATCCAATTTCATCAATTATAAAAGAAGGATTGTAACACAACAGTGCAGGCTCTACCCCTTTTGTACATGCATGAGATGTCATGATGCACATACATGTGGAACTTGCAGGGTTTTGGAATTCATCCTTCCTGTGGACACCTTGGCCCTCCCCTATTATTTCCTGCTGTCTCCTCTGAAATTATGTTAAGTTCCCTAGATATGATAGATATGGAAGAGTATGTTCCCACATCAATGTATTTAAGATTAAAACATATCAAAATATTAAACAAAGTTTTAATTTAAAGCTTCAACAAAACTCTATTGCTATACTTTAAAAAGAAAAAAAAATAAATTCAAACTTTGCAAGACACCAAAGCATTTTCAATGTCCACCTACGTATATTTACTAAAGTATGAGTAGCCTGGAGTGGGGCATCTCTAGGCAATGAAATATATGCCCTTATTCAAGAAGCAAAACATGTTTTTCTTTAAATTTATATCTCCGTAAGGAAGACAGCATGTAATAAAACAAAAATGCATTAAAAAAAATATTTACGTATGAAGATGTTGTTCCTTCCTTTCAATTATTTATGCTATGTTGTTCCAGGATTTCCTTCCTTTCTTGCTTGAGTCCATTCATAATTTGCTTTTGTAAATTCCAGGAATGCAAATCCAGAAGAATTACACACTCTGATTCCGTCAGTGCTACTTTAGGGAAATGGTTTGTTTAATTTAGGATCCATAAATCTGTGCATATTATTGTTGTCAGAGTGGAATTTCACCCTGTGATATACTGCACTAAAATAACTTTGAAGAACTTTGCTTGTTCTAAATATCTATAGTTTTTTCAGGAACTTTGAGTAAGGTAAATAGCATAGTAGTGTGCTTTTCATAAAAAATCTCCCAGGTTTGATTCCTAGTGTTTTTAGGCTAGAAAACACTCATCACTCTGTTGGCATAATATAGCATAGACAGACTAGTGATTTAATGGTAAAAGAATTCTATCATTTAATTAGGGGATAGGAAATCTTTAGCATTCCAAATGTAGGTGAACTCACATCATGGCTAATAGTGATTTTGGGAACTGAGTGGCCATATATTACCCTAAGTTAATTTTTTTTCCTCTACAAAGTCTTTTTTGCTAGCATCTACAAGAGTGATGAAATAGAATTTCATGAATGATCTATCATATATTGTTTTGGCCAGGGATATGCAAAATATTTCAGCCTCAAATGTTCCATCCTTGAAACATTATTTTGAAATGATCTGAGCTGAATGCATGCATTTACTAGGTTTTCTGAGATTGGAACAAAATACCTGCTTTTGAGTGACATCAGTTCAAATGTTCTGAACACAATGACTGGGCTGTTAGCCTACAGAGCAACAGGGACAAATCACATCCTTGCTATTAATGGTTGGGTTGATATGGAAGTGAGTGTTGAGAGGATAGCTATATTTATTCACATTGCCAGATAGAAGACTGCTTGCAACTATAAAAAAACAGTAATATCTGGTAGGCATAAAGTTGTACTACAGTATTTTATTTTGTAGGCAGGTAATGTGAAGGACTATACATATACTGTTTCACACGTGTTGCTAATGATGTGTAAATGTGAAAGCTAGGAACAATTTAGGTTGGTTGATTTATTGAGATTTGGTGTTTGTGTATATGCATACAACCTACATATGACAAACATAATAGAATTTGCCCATAAGAAAGATCAGATGTGCATCAGCATTTTGCTTGTCACACCAACAATATTCTGACGGATACCTTTTTATAGAGCAAAATGAGTTACAATAGCGATGATGATAGAGTATCTGTGGTAAGAAATAAAACACTTTATTGTTTAGAATAAAAGTACACTATAAAAAGTGAACATAAAAGACAATATACATTCAATGAATATAAAATTTATAAATAACAAAACAAGGTGGAAAACTGTAAACAGTGCTACTAAACTAAGCAAAAAGTACATTCCTTTTGGGGAGGAGCTTTCTCCTAGATTGCATTTATTTCCACTCTAATGTTCATAATTGCTAGCAATGGTAATGCAAAAGAGAAAACAATTCTTTACATCCCAGTCCTAGGCCTGTTTCTACAAAAGAGAGTTGAATAGAGTTCAGTGGGTCTTATTACTAAGGTGTAAATAGAATTAAATTCTAATTCTGCGGTCATATGCACACTTTCCTGAGAATAGCCTCCATTGAATTTAATGCAACTTCCTTCTGAAAAAAAAGACAGGCTAAATTGAATCCCCTGCAGATGAGTTCATAACTGGGCATACCAGGTCTTGTAACTTCTGGAATCAATGGAAAGATACCAGCTGACTTTAACAGGAATGCCTCAGGCCCATACATCAAATACAAAACTAAGCACTATGGCTATCTTGTTGACAGCCAGTATGCTGGATGGAGGATCACACTTGAGTCAGACTACCATTTCAAATCCCACATTACAGTCTGTACAAGGGGAATCATGAAAAGCCCTATACTTACTTAAAACATTTATATAGTCACCCATCTTGTACCAAACTCCGGGCAGCTTACTTTTCTTTAAAAAGAAAATACTGTAAAAGAATTAGCACTGAAAACATTGAAGGCATCCCAAAAGAAATGTATTTTTTGCTGGGTTTTTCCCCCTCTCTTTTTGCCTCATTAAAACAAAAGCAAGAACCAAACCACCCTGTAGGAGAGGATTGCTGATCGAACTATGACTCCCCCTCAAATAACTCCATTTTCTGTGGGGCATAACAGACACCCATAGAGAGAAATACATTTTATTGGATGGGTAGGCTATTTTATTTCTTACAAACACAGAGCTACATTACAACCTGTATAAGAACATGTATTTTCTTAGCAATAAAAGAGATTTTCACAATTTTCTTGATTGCAGTTTTATGGCGTCTCAGGTATGATCTTAAGATCTTAATAAGTGAAAATAATAAAAATCTAGAGCTGCCATTCAGTGAAAGGAGAGACCAAAATCTGAGACAGCTGCTTTGTTCTTGCCTTTCAGATCTGAGCTTAAATCAAGTTTATCTCTAGAAATGGGACAATCCATATTACTGGCTTTTATGATTTTGGCCGGTTGCAGTATAAACTAGTCTTTTTACAGAAACAACTCTGAATCTACTTAGTGTTAGCAACTTTTACATTGTGGTTTATAAACATATAAATAGTTGTGGAAAATGTAGCAATTAGATACTTTCCTGAAACCATGTGGTATATATATCTGCAGTGAGGTTATGGGAGATTTCTGTGTATGAGTGTCCTCACTCCTGCTCAGCCATCTCTTTGGGGCCGTGGAAGCTCTACTGATAATATTAAGCTCTCTCTGCTATAAAGACTTATTCTGTTCAATGGAGGAGACAACTACGTACATTTTTCAGTTTATTATAGAACAATTTTGAACTTACGGCAGCTCTGTTTCTTATGAGGAATGAATTGAAGATAGAAAATAATGTAAGACAAATGATAACAGCACAATAAGACAGAATGTGTGCTTGTGTTAAGTATTAATCTTCACTCCATTCTAAAGCCTCAGTAAATTATGTAGTTGCCAAACCCATTAGCAACCCTGCTCTTAAATTACTTTTACAAGATTTTTATATTATACTTTTTCATAATAGAAACAAAGACTGTAGTGAAAGTGGAACAGCCAGTTCCTTACTGCTAGAAAGCAGAGTGAGCCCACAACCACAGGGGCTGTTTAACTGTAGCCAGCAGTAGAACACATAATAGCCTCCCCTAAAATGTTATTTTAGTTAATAGATCTAGATCTTTAGGAATTACATCAATAGCAGGAAAAGTGGGTTTTAATATTCCCTGCCCATCTTCTCTGTGTATTTATTTTCACTGTGCATACTGATAAACAGACTCTTAATGAGATGGAAAATATGAAGAAATAATCCTTCACTTCCACCTCTTCAATCCCATCCCAGTATTCACAGGAGAATAAAATATTGTGAAAAGATTCCTATATAATAAAATTTACAAAATACCACATCATGAAAAACTATTTAAAAAAGTTAAAATGTTTTTCAGAATATAGGAGGAACCAGTAACCATACAATAGTAAGGCACTTTCACAACACCATCCTATTGTATATTTTTAAGGGAATGGGACGGGGGACCATGGAAAACTTTCAGTCTTAGAACAGTTGTTTGAATTGGCCCTTATTTTGATGGCAAGAAGGAAAACAAGCATACAGGGGAGGGAATAAAAATTGACTATTACTACTTTAGAAATCACCAGAGCTCCAGTAGCTTTAGAATTAAAAAATAAAACAGTAACTAATGACTTGGAATGTGAATGGTTGCTCCTTTGAAACAAAAGCATCAAACTTTTTATTACTTATAGCATGAAACAGAATCATGTTCTGTCAAAAAATAGCTTATGTCATTATATCTATATACATTTTTTGTTCGGCAAAAACAGTGTTTGGGCAGCTGGTTTCTTACATTAATATGTCCTGGGGAGTGGGGGTCTCTTTCCTCCTGTGCTCCCACTTTGTCCCCTCTCCAAATAACTCTGGGAAATTTGTGTGTAAAATAAATGTTGAAAAGGCAGTTTTATATCCAGATCAAAGACACAAAAGTATCTGGTCTTGATTTGGTTCTCAACAGGTTAGTTCTGCATTTGTATTTAAAAGACATATTCGCTTCATTTTAGTTAGTTTTGATTTTTTTTAAAAAAAGAAGCTCATTCATTTCCTGTGCAAACCTAGAACTGCCATGAAATTTCTACATTCATATTGGAATGGACAGGCATTTTGAAGTATGCAACCTTTTAAATTCATGCATCTGAATTTCCCAAATATTTCACATTCCACCTTGTATAAGCATGGTGACTTTCTTTGCATCCTTTCATTATGTGGCTCACAATGGTGATTAATCCCAACTGGCTGCAATTATAGCTACCTGCTCTGAAAACTGAGAAAAAAAGCAGCAGCACAGGAAAAAAAGAAGAGGGAATAGAATTTTAATCAGGAAATTTTTGAGATTTGTGTTTTCCTACAAAAATATATATTGCTATATGTATAGTGCTATAGAATTTTGAGCAAAAGCTCCCTTGATTATCTGGGAACTTCTGTTCACATACCAGATGAATATTTGATCAACAAGGGATGAGAGTAATTTTTTTAAAAGATGATTTTAAAAAAGAGTTAAGACAGCATAGATTTAAAAATCACAAAAGTTCGAAGTGCTAAAAATTGCAAGAAACAGGCACTAATATCATGGTTGTGATCATGATCAAATATGCGTTAGTGTCCAAAGAATGCTCAGCCACATGGGAGGGAAAGAACAGGAAAGAAAGAGAATTGGATTTTCAGGGGTCAGTTGCATTGATGATGGTTTTATCAGGAGGTGCCCATCCTCTATACCAGCTGCAGTAGCCATCTTTGTGTTTGATGCAAGCATAATGTTTTGACTGGTACCCTGGTTGGCCGAAGCTGGAAAGCATGTCTGTCCAGAGGCACTCATTCTTGGAGGTCACAAAGCAAGGAAGGTAGTAGCAGGGCTTAATCTATAATTACAAGATAAAACAAATGAAAGGTGTTGAATGATCTAAAAAGAATCAGACACTTTATAATCCTGAAACTTTGGGCTAATATCTACCTTCTCTTAGTTACAAAAAGTAGCAGATTTAGACAGTTATCAGTAGACTAGTCAAGGGGTAAAGAATTATTTCAACCTATTTTTAATCTTGAAAACACATTTCCAGTATTTTAAACTATCTGGTGATTTGTTGAGTCTGGAAATCCTAATCCTAGTGGGGGAGCAACAAGAATAAAGTTCCTGGACCTTGCAGGGCTCATTTTCTTCTCCAGATTTTCACAAGGAGTATAATTTCCTTTTGTTGCCTTTTTGAACCATCCATCCCAGAACATTAATCATGGTATCCTTCTGGACTGGTTCAGAGGGTTGGGGGTGGAAAGCAAGGTGTTGCAGTCTCCTCCTCCTTCCTTCGAGGGTCAGTTCCATTCAATATTGATAGGGGGCAGAGTTCTAGCCCAAGGCTGTTACTTTGTGGGGTGTCTCAGACTTCAGTTCAGTTCCCCATTCCTGCTTAACATCTACATGAGATCACTGGGTGAAGTCATCTGTTGACACAGGGCTAGATATCATCAGCATGCTGATGACACTTTTCCATCTTTGGTTCTGGATGGGGTTGCACTACCCTAAATAGACTGAGTAATTTGGAGGTCCTCCTAAACTCCTGCTTGAAGAGCAGACGGCCTCTGTGGTTCAAAGGGACATTGCGCAGCTCCATCTTGTGCATCAGTTCTAGATCAGGAAAACCTGTTTATCCTCACTCATGTATTAGTCATTTCACAATTAGATTACTTCAATGTGCTCTACGTGAGGCCACCCTTGGATGACCACTCAAAAGCTTCAGCTAGTTCAGAATGCAGCAGCATGGTAGTTACTGGTATACCTCAGGATGCCCATGTCACATTTCTATTTCACAAACTGCACCGTTTACCAGTGTGCTTCTAGATGGAATTCAAGGTGTTGGTTCTTACTTATAAAGCCCTTTATGACACATATTTGTCTATCCCTGACCATTTCTGCACCTCTAGTAAGATTCGACAGGGAAGACATTCTCTAGGTCTCATCATAAAGCAACGTCATCTGGCGGGACCCAAGAGACAGGCCTTTTCTGTTGCTTCCCTTGCTCCTAGGAAGAGTATCCCTCCACCTGAGATTCGGTTGGCCCTGAGGCTGTCTTCCTTTTGGAAGGCATTCAACAGCTGCTTTTTTCTCCCAGGTATTGTGTTTGGGAGTGGTATGACCCATCGGATGCATTTTTAACACCACTTTATGTGTTTCTGTTTAGGATTATGCATTTTACTATTTATTTTACTGTGTTGTTTTTATTGAGTTCATGTTGTTTATTAACGATGAATGCTACTCTGAACCACGTGTCAAATAGGCAACTGTACAAATTGATTGAACAAATAATAAATGAACATCTCAAATGCACAGGGTTGGCAGAAGCATCCCATACCTTGCAGCCACAACCTAGGTGGTAACGATGGTTTAGCCCTTTGCGCTGAGACAGGGTCAATTGATCCCACTGTTCATTCAGATTACACAGTCCAGTATAAACCTTTCCATCATAAACTCGACCTAGAAAACATAAGCACAAATTATCCATTGCAGTATCATTCATTTGATAGCTCAAGGTAATTTTCTAATTTATTAGGAGAAAAACAACTCAAAAATTATCCTTTTCTAATGCAATTTTTTTTTTAACATTTGCAATTACAGTAAGTTTGGAAAGAGCAATTGACTTAATTTGTCATAGTGGGGTATTTTACTGATACAATTCTAATAAAAGCCAATTAAGCAGATAAATTAGTTAAAAACAAATACCCAATAATCATCAGCATCAGACAGAAATAATAAATCTCTATTATGTTGTTTAAAAAGGCCCAGGAAAAGAAGATACCTTAACCTGGAACTAAGAGGATGTTAAAACAAGTATTTATTACTCTTTCTTTAGAAAGCCTTCCACAAACAAGGGTTGCCGTCAAGAGAGCTTTTTCCCTAATGGCCAACCTCTGGACTTTAGACTGAAGGCTCTTCCTCACTGCAGCCTTAAGCTGTTGGACTCCTTTATGTAAACCAATTTGAAATGAAGCTGCTTAAGAAATCCCTTTCCAAATTTCAACCTTTTTTCTCTTTGGACAGAGTGACAACTTGCTGTTCTACCCAAACTGCATTTACCATGGCTCCTGATTGGTGGATTCCCCTTCTTCTTTACCTCTAATGGACTAGGGTTTTTTTTGTTTGTTTGTTTTAAATTACCACAATAGTATAATTTTTCCTGTCACTTGGACTAGTAGGAGAAAGTGGAAGACCTTAGTCAATTTCATCTGGTTAAAAAAAACAAAGAAGGTCCATGGTCTCATTGTTCCATTATTTCATCAATGAATTCATTAAATTCATTTTTTCATTAAAAAAAAAAAGAGAGGTCCACCTTTTCATTGGTTCATCAGTGAACATAAGAAAAGAGCACCAATTCATTGTTTCAGCAGTGAGCTTGTGAAGAAAAAAAAATCCATTGCTTTATTGCTCCATCAGTAGACCTGTAAAAAAATAACTCCAAAGGGTAGCAACCAGTAATTGGAGGACGTTCCTGTCACAGTTCACAGTAACCAATTGGAATGGAGGTACAGCAGGCAAACTGAACAGTGCAGCTTGAGCCAACAGAAATAGTAGAAAACACTACTTTTGATGCATAATAGAAAAACACAAGCAGAGGCTGCCTTCTCAGGGAGCTGGGGCAGATAAAGAGTGATGTGTATTCCTGCCCTCAAGAAAGGGTCAGTGGCTGATACTGGTCATAGAGGTCAGCCCCAAGCAGCACTATAAGAACAGTCTCTGCTGGTGAATTTAGGGTAGAGTTGGAGGATATGGCAAGAGGCATTTCTTGAGCACAGATCTTTCCAGTCTCTAGTAGTTTGGGATGTAAAGACAGAAAAATATTTCTTTGTGAAATACAATGTTCTGGTTGTTTGTTTTTTAAACCCTACAAGGCTTGGGTTCCAACTACTTGAGAGAACAACTCTTTCTTTAAAATTCCTCCCCCAACTCACTGTAATCATGTGATGAGGAGTATTCTGCTGCTGCCTCATTCATTTGGAATGCACTCCCAGCTGAGTTGAGATGACTAATATTTTACTGGGTTTTTTAAAAAAGCCTTAAACACAAACCCTTTAAAACAGGTCCTTAATTATGTATGTTAATTATTTTTAGTATTTCTAATTTAAAACCTGACATCTTAGTGCAAAACAAACATATCCATCCATGATAACAGACCTCGATATAATTAATGAAATAAACACTTAATAAAGCACACCCACTAGCACTGAACTTCAGCCTCTAAAAATATAGCTAATAGTGTCTTGTAAGCAAGCTGTGACAGAAAATGTGTTATGTTTTACCTGTAATCATATACTGGTACTTGTTGACCTCCAGTTTGACCCCACAAAGACCTTCAGAGGCCTCCGTGTAGATATACTGAACATGTGGCATCTTGTCAAAACCCCTATACATCTAGAGAAAGAGAGAGCACACACAGAAGATTTTTAATGAAATGCAGTGCAACCAAAAAACCCCAAACCCATCACTTCTCCCATTATCCAGCAACTTCCTCATCCCCCTTCATATTAAGCAGAATGTGCATCCCTCATGATTCCAGAGTCCTGGCCTACAGTTCCCAACATCCAAGGAGAGCAGCTAAGATAAATATTAGTATTGGTTTAGGTTTGTAGAGCACACATACCTTGACTCCATTCAAAAACAGACAGTCACATCTAGTTTTCCCTTGCAAAGGCTTCAAAAAAGAAACCAATATCCCTTGATGCTTCAAAAGACATAGAATAGCAGACAACTTTTATTAGCCTTGAGCAGAATCCAGTGGAACCTGTTCCATTCTCAGATCTATTGAAACCGGGGTTCCCCACGTTTGTGTTTCTGTTAGAGCGTCCAACAAGGTAGATTGCTACTCATGGAGCTGATCTGTCATTACAAGCTAAAATTCTACTCAGGACTAAGCGGGCATGTCAACATTGGTTTTGGTGTCAACATTGGTTTGTAATGGCTTACAAAACCACCTTTGCTTGCTCACAGCTTTCATACTAAGTTGGATAGATGATGCCATATAAAGAGAATTACTGTTATTAGGAGGCAGGCAAGTGGCTATTTTGCTAAATGACTAAATTACTTTGTGTAATATGTTTCAGATTTCTACAGTCACTGCCAAAGTCTCTTGTTGTTTTTTTTTTAATCCTCATTCTTCTAAAGACATTAAACTAGTCTTATGACTGAGATGTAACAGCCAAGAAAAATAAACCAGAGCAGATTTTTAACATTACATAATAAGAGGTCAGTTAACAGAAGAATGTCCAGAGCAACAGGTTCAAGCAAAGTCTGCTTATTACATTGGAAGTACAGAGAAGACCCATAGGAAGAGAGGAGGGAACATTTTTTTCTTCAAAGTGAACAAGTCAAACTCCAAGTGTCCAGTTATTTCTAAATTCCACATAATGAGCTTCATGTAGGTTTGTCACTGTCAAATTTGTTGAAAAAAACAACAACTGGGGCACTTCTTAACTCTTTCTGCCCCAAAATTAAGAGATTCAGAGCTCATTTTCCAAATAATTTTAGATTCATTTGTTTGTTTGTTTGTTTGACCCACTTATACCACAAAAACCTAAAGTAGAATAGATAGTATTATCTCCTCAAAATTTATTCTCACAACAATCCACAAAAACGTCCATTGGGGAAGCTGAATTCACTTAACAGCCATGTGATTCACTTAACAGCCTTTGTAAAAATGGTAAAATCGAGTCCAGTCACATGACGACTTACTTAACAACCACCCTGCTTAACAATCAATTTTCCAGTCCCTATTGTGGTTGTTAAGCAAAGACTCCCTGTACTTCTCTCCTAAGCCATCTTTTTTTTCCACTGGAATATAATGCACATAGAAAGCAGGGGCAAAAGATAAAACTCCCATATTCTTCTAATACTCCTTTCTATACTCAACTGTTTAAAGATATCTGCTTGCTATTTTCATCTAGTTTCTATCAGTCAGATGAAATTAGGTGATCAGTCTTAAGATTCTGTGCTGAAATCAGTGACTTTTAATCACAAAATTACTATCTGATTTTTACTTTTAGAGAGAGGCAGATTCCTCCTACTTCTAAGGCCACAGTAGCAATGACTTATTACACTAAACTGTTAATGAGTACAAATTATAAACAACTGTTTCTATATACCTGAAAAGTTAAATGTGTGTCAAGTTGAAAACTTAACACAAATGAACATCTAGGTATTTCCATGCATGCAGAAAATAGCACAACATTGCATGGAGAAAGTAAAATAGCTTACATGTGTGAAATTACCTTTGCTTATTCACAAAATTATACAAGCCATTAATTATTTGGGATAAGAATGAGCTCAGGGGATTAAATGACATATCTGATGAACTCTGAAAATGTTTTGTTGTCTCAACACAATATGACTGGCATCTGTTCACACACCTTCATTTGTTTGACAGTGTATCGCATTGTCCCAAACGGTCCATCTTTCATAAGCTTCTTGCCCACTACCTTGGCCCGGATAACTGCAGTAAAAGAAGATAGGTCAAGTGAATAGCATCTTCATTCTATAATTTATCCTTACAAATAAGTCATTTTAGAACAGCATAAATGACAGAAGTTGGAGGATAATTGGTTAGACTTTCCAAGTTTCAGTTTTCAGAGTTGTGAAACACACATACCTATGTATGCAAAGACCACTTAAATAATAATAATAATAATGGCATAAACTGGCAGTTGTGGTCCTAATTATCAGCACACTAGGTGCCATATCAAAAAAACTTGGATGGCACTTTGAAAATCTGCACATTGACAAAATTTCCATCAATTACAAAAGGCCATACTGCCTAGATCCACACATATACTACACTGATACATTACAACATCCTAGGTTCTTGGGAAGAACTCAATGTGAATGAAGGTCAACACCAGCTAAAGGCCTGGCAGCTGTGATTTCATGTTGTTTTGTATACAACAATAATAAGTCCATGAAATTGTCTACTTCATGTTGTGGCTATAGCCTTGGAAGAGCTAGCGGATTGCTCTTGCAGTAAATCAATAAACCAAGATGGGGTCATCCAAATGCCATACATGTATTGTATCAACATGTCTCCTTGATCCTTTCCTTCAGCAGGTCATATCTGCCAAGCAGGTTTTGCATTCCATTCTCAGCCCAGCTAGTGCAGTGGGTGGCAGACTTTGCTAATGGAATAGAAAACTATATATTGCTGGAGACAGGAGATAATCTTTATACAAAGCCTAAAGGCTAACAGTCCCTAAAAAGCAGAGAGCAATTTGATGTAAGGTTCTGAACTAGAAACCAGGAGAACTGAATTACAGGCATGAAAGCCAGCTGAGTGCCTTTGAGTTAGTCACTCTCTCTCAGCCCAACCCAGCTCACAGGATTGACACAGCTGTTGTGAGGAAAATAGGAGGCAGTAGCATTATGTACCACTTGAAGTAGTACAAAATAAATGCAGGATATAAGTCTAATAAATAATAATAAACAAGAAATAGTCTATGGACTACAGGACATTGAACAAGTTATTCTGGAGTGTGGCTACTTAATTTCATTTAAAGTGAAATTGGTACATATGGAGTCAGAACAATTGAGAAGTTGTAATTAATTTCTGTAAGAATGGTGGAGTCTCTCAGACAGGCCCGTATATCCTTATATTCTTTCAACAAATAACAGATAAAACAAATAGAACCTGGGGAACTTAGAGGGCATTGCTGTAACTTTTAGAAAGGCTAAACGAAATGTTTTCATCACTTCTCTTTTCCTGCCAAGATTGTCTTATGATTTCATCAAACACTGAGTAAACAGTAATGATTTAGATTTTAATTGTACAAAAATATTCAACCAAGTAAAACAGATTATCTTGTTAAATTTTGCTTTGACTCAAAAAATAGGTTTGTGACATTTTCCTTTAACAACAACAAGAATAATGGTGAAACTCATTTACTAAAGGAGACATCTAGCTCAAATAACTGTCAACACATTTTTCACTGTTGAAATGGCTGAAAGAAACATACAGCCTGAAAGAACAGGGATACATCCAAAGTTAATGCAGTGATAGCTCTTAACTTTGAAATCCTTTCTGCTTTTGGCTTTTAGAATATTTTAAAAAATTGTCTCACTTCTAAGCTTATTGTTTCTAACCTAAGTATTTGTTTGCAACTGTACCAAATGAATCCAATACAGGCTATTACAAGTACCCTTATAGTGTACCATCTAGTACAATTCTAGTGTACTAGAATTATTGCTGGAGTTGAATAATTCTCCTTTTTAAACAGTTCCATACAATGAAACCTCCACATTGACAGATAAGAGATGCCATTAATTTTAATGAAATTTGAAAATGGATCTCAGTTCAGAATGCAACTTAGCCTTTGCAGGACTTTATCTTTGAGATAAAGATCTGTGCTTGGGAAAAAAAGTGTGATTTTCAGAGGCATGTCCTAGTATTTACACACATACTGGATTTTGTGGTTTAAGAATTTCCATGGCAAACATGATACAAAGACAGAGATCAGTTTTCTTCTCGATGAACAAGAGTATTTATAGTTTTTATTCAGTTTCTAATGCCAAATACAATATGGAGTAGAACTCTGGTGTTACTAGAAGTTGCCTATCTTTCTCTGTATCTCCCTCCTTCCCCCCCAAACCATCTGCCCACCCACGTTGATTTGCAAATGCAGGAGAACAAGTTGTGCCTACCTAATTTTCTAAGGTTGTGCAAAAATTACAAATCAAACTATCTTGTCCTTTTTTTAAATACAAAACAGTTGTTTCTAGGGCAAAATATGTTGTTTCAAGCACTTTGGAAGCGTTTAGGGCTTGAAATAATGTGTTTCATGAGCAGAGCTATTTTGAGCTCAAATCATATGGAACAGTAATTCATACTTGAGAGGGATGCATCATATTTGAGGCATTTCATACCTATTTTAATTTGAAGCAGTTTGATGTGAAATGTTTTGCATACCAATTTCTATCTCAGAGGCACAGGAGGGCAGAGAGATCTTAATTGAAAGCCTATCATGTCACACAGAAGGTTATAAAGAGGGTTTTTATAACCCTCCATTTCTTATATAATAAGAGTCTCCAGCCATGAAGAAACATACTGATGTTTCTAATTTACTGTTCACTTTTTTTTATCTAAAATCTTCACTCAGTCACTCATTTACAAACATATACATATCCAAATGAAAATGAAAATCTAGCCGGCCAGAAGTTCTAAAACAACCAAAGTGGGAAGTCATTGTGTACAGTACCTCATTGTCTGTGATTGCTCTGAAGTACTGCAGTTCCCATCCAGTTTCACCCCTCCAGTTCACATGAGAACCATCTCTTATTTTGAGAACCATCTTTTGTTGCATGGTCTTAAAAGTTTTCATTCTGGTATTATTCCACATAGTGCATAAGCTTACATTTACCAGAATAAATCCTTCTACCTTTATGGCCCTCTTTGAATGGGCCTCATGTATTCCATCTCTTGCACATGTCCATTAATAACTTCACACAAATTCATATAATAACACTACATATTATCTACTGGCATATGCTAACTACATGGTAATAAAATCTACAGTACAAACTACTTAATCTAAAACAATTCTGTTGATACTAGGACTAAACTCATGTATATGGTATTAGGAAATGATTACCTTGTATTTATACGGTATTTAGACATTTTCTAAAATAATTTGAAATTTTTCATTTGTTTTTAAACAGTGGATACATTCGCACAATCTGCTTTGTTAAACTATAATCTGCTACTTGGAATCAATGTTCTATATTAACCAGAATCTGGTTTAATTAGGCGTATGTAACTCTATATTCCTATCATCAACATATTATGCAAGTAATAGGATCACAATTATTAAATACAACCAAGAAGTAGCCATGCATTTAGTGATAACTTGAAGAGGACCTACAAACATATATATGGACATAGAGACATACATATATGAGCAGGAACCCTGATTGTCCAGATTTCTCCCTTAATGATAGTCTATGTCTATTATATGTAAATACCAAGCAAGTTATTGGTGATTGTGATGCATGTTCAGCAGGTACAAGGCAAGATTCTGAAATGGGTGATGGAATAGCTGAAGACGTAAAAACTACAAAAAATTAATCCGTTGATATATATACTTAATGTGCATAATGTGACCCACCAGACCAACATAGCTAACCAGCTGTGTATGATGGCCCATAAGAGGCTCAATATTCATTTTAAAATTATATCTAATCTGCTCTATAGAATCTACTGCTTCGGACTTGTTCTATTCACTGCTCTGGTTTCTGTATTTGATTAGCCAGAATTATTTTAAATAAAAAAGACTTCTAAAAGTTATTTCATCATCACAAAATATGCAAACCAGCAAAAATGTTCCTTGAACATTCTCTTTATCTCTCCTATTTTTCTTTTCTTTTTTTTTCTGGTGTCCTATTACAGTCTTACTATTACTGATGGGAAATTTTATCCCACACAAGTGGACACCAAAATAGCAGCATATTTTTAAACCACAGTCACTTTGAAGTGGTGCCCATCAAAACAGACTGTGAAGAATGTTTCTGAATACTTTGGGGTTTAGGGTCAAATTATTTTGTGGGATGAGAGCAGCTGGTAAGGTCTCACAGATGATTTGTAATTGTTTATGTAATATTAATTTAGATAAGCATATAAATCTCTAGTAATGTAAGCAAGCCGGCTAACTTATTGTACTAAACCAACCCAACAGACCAATTGAATTGTCGTGCAAAGTATATAGATGCAGCTATTTTCCTTTAAAAAATAACATTTTCCATATGCTTGTGCATATGCTATATAAAAAAAGCCTTTTTGTTGGGAATTATTTGAAAACCTTGGTGTACTGTTTGAACCAGCTGTTTGGAAAGCTATAAAACATGGATAGTAAAAAGATTAAACTCAGTATATCTTTGTAACCCAGCTTGCAATTTTAGTGAACACAGGCATCCAAAAAAATTTAAATGATAGTTTAGACCTTGCATCTGAGATTTTGACCATGCTTTTGCATGAGCAACCAACATGCCACCAGTTCTCCTTTATAAAAGACTCTCTGCCTGCCTGGAATTTTAAAATTCAGTTTTGAATAAGCATCAAGAACTTTTGGTCCAAGAAAAAAATAAAGAAAAATCTCCAGTTTCTGTGTGTAGATGTCATCCATTGCTGCCATCTTGGGAGCTACTTGCATGCTACTACTTAAGGACAAGAATGCAGGAGGAATCGGTCCCAAGTGCAACCACAGAAGAAGCCACCATAACAGAAGCCAGAAGGGATAGGTTTTTAACTTTGTATAAGCATAAATTCAACAATCTGTCTTCAAAAAGCTGCACGCATAAGAAAAGCTCTACCTGCTCAGTTAACTGCCTGTAATATTCTATATTTTCTTGTTCCTCTTTCACAATTCTTCCTGGGTATCCCAGAACAATACCTACTGAATTTCATAGGAGATCTGTGCTGGATGTAGATTACTATTAAAGCTAATTGGAAAAGAT